AGCTACTGGTCACAGGTGAAGGTGTAAGGCGTGTATGTGGGTATGATTTCAATAGCTACTGGTCACAGGTGAAGGTATAAGGTGTGTATATGGTTATTAGTTCAATAGCTACTGGTCACAGGTGAAGGTGTAAGGCGTGTATGTGGGTATGATTTCAATAGGTACTGGTCACAGGTGAAGGTATAAGGTGTGTATGTGGGTATTAGTTCAATAGCTACTGGTCACAGGTGAAGGTATAAGGTGGGTCTGTGGGTATTAGTTCAATAGCTACTGGTCACAGGTGAAAGTATAACGTGTGTATGTGGGTATTAGTTCAATAACTACTGGTCACAGGTGAAGGTGTAAGGCGTGTATGTGGGTATTAGTTCAATAGCTACTGGTCACAGGTGAAGGTATAAGGTGTGTATGTGGGTATTAGTTCAATAGCTACTGGTCACAGGTGGAGGTATAAGTTGTGTATGTGGGTATTAGTTCAATAGCTACTGGTCACAGGTGAAGGTATAAGGTGTGTATGTGGGTATTAGTTCAATAGCTACTGGTCACAGGTGAAGGTATAAGGTGCGTATGTGGGTATTAGTTTAATAGCTACTGGTCATTGTGAAGGTATTAGGTGGGTATGTGGGTATTAGTTCAATAGCAATTGGTCACAGGTTAAGGTATAAGGTGTGTATGTTTTGGTATCAGTTAGTTAGACGTTGGCCGTTGGCGGCCACTGTTGTACAGCTTTGTCAACAAAAGGTACCTTTTCTGTTTATACCCGTAAACGTGAAATTCATATCGAAACCGAATTTTACAAACTGAAACAATATAAATCATGACGTTAATTTGTCTTGGTGTCATCTACGCCATGTGTATAACTATTGTCATATATGTTTCCTAATACAGGGATGGCTATAACTACGATCATTGTAAACTATGTATGTGTGCAGGTGCCATGTTCTTTTCTAAAAGTACAACACTGTTTCATTGTTTGATGTAATTGGATCGTACTAAAACACTATCCTGTGTCACGAATCAGTTCCAACAGTTTTGCTACTCTGAATAAAACGTTTACCATCGCACCTCAGACAGCATTATTTTAAGGAAAAACCTGTCCAATCAGTTCATAAAATGAGTTCGTTTCATAAACACAATCATCGCAAGTGTGAAATTAACCGTGGCTGGATTAATGAGATTCCCCGAAGCGTTCAAATAACACAGAGGCGACAAAAAGCATCAATGATTGAAAACGGCTCTGATTTGTTTGCGTGTGGGTGGGGATGGTATGAAAGGAATGTCGGGATCATGTCACGCTACCACTGACCACGACGTTGCTGCTGTTGTGGAGGATCACGTACATTGTCATTGTGATCGTGTCAGTCTTGAACCGAATATACCAGAGTCAATAAACGCAGGGATATTCGGCAGGATGGAATGATTTAGCTGACTCATAAACTCAACTTCTTTTAAATTCAACACCCGTTCGGTGTCATCAGCGAGTTAATTTAGTTTGACTCTGTTTTGGTGTTGCTAAGGAATCTTTGACGTTATTGATGATATTGTATGATATTCAGACATGTGGTTCTTTTAAGCCAGAAACTGTTTTTGTGACGCATTATAACTCAATTGAAGGAGACGCTGCCTGATGTCCACTGCCTGTCTCACCTGATGATTGTGTGAGTTTGGTTTTAATGCTGCTATAAATAGCTTCAGCGGAGAAAGCTGGCCTACAACGTGCTCGTTTTTATCAGTTTGGTGTAACCGTCAGTAACGGGGGTCCTAATCAGTGTGGGCGTGTACCCTGAACCTTAAACGGGGCGATGGGGTAGCCTAGTGGTTATAGCGTTCGCTCGTCACGCAGACGACCCCGGTTCGATTCCCGCATGGGTACAATGTGTGAAGTCCATTTCTAGTGTCCCCCGTCGTGACATTGCTTGAATATTGCTAACAGCGGCGTAAAACCAAACTCAGTCACATTCACACTGAACATAAAACACCTCACATTCATCTTTCACTTAGATGATGACGGATAACTAACAAGAACGAGGAGCCGACAATTCAAAGGTTATTAAAAATAATTTTACTATGAAAAACGTAACTCATTTCCACTACTTATCCATGTGGCGGAGAAATAAGTCGCGTTTTTAAGACCGACTAGACTATTACAAACACGTTGCGTTAGTGCACACGCCTACTCTAAATATTCAATACATACTCCACGGGTGTTATTTTATAAAGAGCGTGGCAAGTGAGAATGTATTTACACGCAATTAGCGATAACCCAGTAATGTTACATTTTACTCTGGTAAAATCAAACTCGACGAACGAAAGCACAACCACGAGGTTGCACAACTACCCATGTTAAATAGAAGTGGATAAAACTCGATTAAACTTTCAACATATCATCGGGTTTTGAAACTAGACAAAAAAATGACATAATCATTTTAATAATTTTCTCCTAGAGACATACAGTGTACATACATAATACATCAGTGTTTATCTCTACATCGGTGTTCTTGGTGTATACGTCACGCGGGCACCACACATCACGGCGATGTACCCCCTGAGCGTGACGTTCACTGTCCGTACATTTCGTCATGTATTGTGAAAGAAGGTGGGGACTGAATACAGGCAATCTAAAATTATTTTATCAGATCTTCCTCAATGACCTGGTTTGCTTGTCCTTGACATATATCCGTCTCATTATTGAATTCTCCAAAAAGGTGTACACAAAGTGTGGTAGTCAAACGTATGGAACTTTTCTATCGGGAATGTTTGGCCGACATTACGTATAATTAGCATTTATAACATTCTAGACTACTTTGCTCTGTAGAAGACACAATGTCTCTTTGAGTCGATAGCAACTGTGCACCCATCTTCGATTATCCAGGGAATTACATTATCTACGGTTAGAATAAGCACCCTGGATCAGTTTATTTCAGAGCTGACGCCAGGCATAATTTCTCTACAAAATTGTTGTGATTGTATGACTGCTGTGCCATCGTTTCATATAACTCGGATTCGAACTCTGACTCACTTATTAAATCACTCATTCACTCCATGTAGACCCACAAATCTCACCACAGCTGCATTCGTCTCTCCACTCACACTGTACACAACAAATCTTACCACAGATGCATCCCTCTCGCCACTGACACTGTACACCACAAATCTCACCACAGATGCATTCCTTTCACCACTCACACTGTACACCACAAATCTCACCACAGATGCATTCGTCTCACCACTCACACTGTACACCACAAATCTCAGCACAGCTGCATCCCTCTCGCCACTCACACTGTACACCACAAATCTCACCACAGATGCATGCGTCTCACCACTTACATTGTAACCATAAATCCCTTTACAGGTGCATACGTTTCACCGTAAATCTCGCCACAGACACATACGTCTCACCACTGACATTGTGCACCACAAATCTCCCCACAGATGCATTCGTCTCACCACAAATCTCACCACAGACACATGTCTCACCCGTCACAATGTACACCACTAATCTTACCACAGATGCATTCGTCTCACCACTTACATTGTAACCATAAATCCCTTTACAGGGGCATACGTTTCACCACAAATCTCGCCACAGACACATACGTCTCACCACTGACATTGTGCACCACAAATCTCCCCACAGATGCATTCGTCTCACCACAAATCTCACCACAGACACATACGTCTCACCCGTCACAATGTACACCACTAATCTTACCACAGATGCATTCGTCTCACCACTTACATTGTAACCATAAATCCCTTTACAGGGGCATACGTTTCACCGTAAATCTTGCCACAGATGCATTCGTCTCACCACTCACACTGTACACCATAAATCCCTTTACAGGTGCATACGTTTCACCACAAATCTCCCCACAGATGCATTCGTCTCACCACTCACATTGTACACCACAAATCTCCCCACCGGTGCATTCGTCTCACCACTCACACTGTACACCATAAATCCCTTTACAGGTGCATTCGTCTCACCACAAATCCCCCCACAGACACATACGTCTCACCACTCACATTGTGCACCACAAATCTCCCCACAGGTGCATTCGTCTCACCACAAATCTCGCCACAGACACATACGTCTCACCACTCACATTGTACACCACAAATCTCCCCAGAGGTACATTCGTCTCACCACAAATCCCCCCACAGACACATACGTCTCACCACTCACATTGTACACCACAAATCTCCCCACAGGTGCATTCGTCTCACCACAAATTTCCCCACAGACACATACGTCTCACCACTCACATTGTACACTCACCATACAGGGAGGTCATCTTTAACGACAGATTTACGGTACATGAAAGTAGGTCAGTGTGGTTCTTGAGGTGTTAAGAAAGCGGTCCTATTTCTTATCACGTATCAGATTCCGGATGACAATGGGCAGTCTTAATCTCTGTAAAGTACCAACGTAGATTATATTCCAGAACTTGAAGCACTAAAACACCCTGGCATATAAACGAGGAAGGCGAAACTAGTATTTTTTTCTAAAGAGGACGATGATGATACAACAGCACATGTAATTTTCTGAGAAGGTGACAGAAAAATGGCATCTTATAAACTGAGTACTCCTACAGCCTCAGAACGTGTAATATCTCCTACAATGAGCCCAAGCATGCTGCTGAAGATTTGATTCACAAGTATCCCCCGTCTGACGGAGAGAAGAGCTGAGACTATAGTTGCATCTGCGATAGATGATACAGAGATGCGTATGACTGTAGTGAGCAGAACGTATCATGCATCGATCTCGGTCATGTTAGTTTTAAACTATATTTAAACTATGAAATCCTGGATATATTACTGCACATAAAGACAATAATTGCTTGTGCCACACATGGACATTCGTTGGCCCCGTGCACTGTGCGCTAAAACCAGTCTAACGAAAGTTTATCAAGTGAAATGCAATCAGTTTCAATCTCCTTGAAGGTCAGCCCTTGTGTATATCAAACATGTTTTCACGCAGGTTGAAACTTTTCCTACACGTCTGGCGTAAACAACACAAGTACCAAGGGACCTTGTCAATATCGCCGCGGCCTACATATGGGCGATGTTGGTTGACATCAGCAGGTACAGTAGATGTCGTTGTTTATACCACCGGGAGACGGTCAAAGATGAAGGTTGCTATATTGGCAGATACTATTTCTACAACTGATACACCAGACGATGCTGATACAGATAACTGCAAGTGCAGTAAGATACTGAATCCGGTCAATGGTCAACTGGCGTTGTTAATACAATAGAATGACGTCACTACATCTTGTATATCTCTGATATCAGTTAGCAGATACAGCAGAGTGGGTCAGGCCCACATCAAATGGGAATCAATAAAATTAGGGGAGTTGCATGAACAATAGTATTAATTTATATTTCTTATTACACGTCTCTCTATAGTGCTCTATTTTCGACACCACGAACTTAATGCCTTGCAGTATGAACACACACAAATATATACAAACAATGTCTGGAGAATGTCTAATTCTTTAAATGATCTGAACTCGGAAAATGAAACTCAAACGAATCGGTCAAAAGGTCCGAAACTCATGGGTTGCGTTTCTAAAAGAGTGATGAGGCCAGGAAACAAGACAACGGCCCAGTATATATTAATAAAAATGCTACATAACTATTTTATGTTTTGTGAATTCGCTTTACGCAACACTTCCTTTCATAATGCAAACGGGACAGGTATGCATTAAATACAAGGTAGGCATTGTCCTTTGCAACACCCATCACAACACAAATCACACAGACAGGACACATACCAGGTCTACATTGTGTTACATCACACAGACAGGACACACGTGTGACACATACCAGGTCTACATCGTGTTACATCACACAGACTGGACAAACGTGTGACACATACCAGGTCTACATCGTGTTACATCACACAGACTGGACACGTGTGTGACACATACCAGGTCTACATTGTGTTACATCACACAGACAGGACACACATGTGACACATACCAGGTCTACATTGTGCTACATCACACATACAGGACACACGTGTGACACATACCAGGTCTACATCGTGTTACATCACACAGACTGGACACGCGTGTGACACATACCAGGTCTACATTGTGTTACATCACATAGACAGGACACACGTGTGACACATACCAGGTCTACATCGTGTTACATCACACAGACAGGACACACGTGTCACACATACCAAGTCTACATCGTGTTACATCACACAGACAGGACACACGTGTGACACATACCAGGTCTACATTGTGTTACATCACACAGGCAGGACACACGTGTGACACATACCAGGTCTACATCATGTTACATCACACAGGCAGGACACACGTGTGACACATACCAGGTCTATATCATGTTACATCACACAGGCAGGACACACGTGTGACACATACCAGGTCTACATTGTGTTACATCACACAGACAGGACACACGTGTGACACATACCAGGTCTACATCGTGTTACATCACACAGACAGGACACGCGTGTGACACATCACATACCACACATGTGACACATACCAGGTCTACATCGTGTTACATCACACACACATACCAGGTCTACATCGTGTTACATCACACAGACAGGACACACGTGTGACACATACCAGGTCTACATTGTGTTACATCACACAGACAGGACACACGTGTGACACATACCAGGTAAACACTGTGTTACATCACACAGACAGAACACACGTGTGACACATACCAGGTCTTCATCGTGTTACATCACACAGACATGACAAACGTGTGACACATACCAGGTCTACACTGTGTTACATCACACAGACTGGACACACATTTGACACATTCCAGGTCTACATTATAAGTTGTTCACTGGTCACCAGGGGGGCATGGGTTGATATACCCTCGATGTTTGTTTATGTTCCCTGAGCCCAAAGGGTTGATGAGCCCGAAGGGCTCAGGGAACATAAGCAAACATCGAGGGTCCATCAATCCATGGGCCCCGAGGGACCAGTGAACAACGTATTTACCTTACCGAACACCTTAATGTTAATTTTCAATTGTTTGCAGCCATTGCTAGATTTTGCTGACAAGAAAAACAGGTTTAGAGTTATCTCCCTTTCATCGATTTGCATTCGCAAAACATCGGTAATTTCCGTACATCATTCGTGATTCAATGTTATTCGAGATAAAGAATTACTACCACGAAGTACCAAATGAGTTGCCATTGACAGCGGGGTACATTGAAATGTTACTCGCTTGTAAGCGGGGTGCATTGAAAATAATAGGAGAGCGCTCAGCCAATCAGAAAGCGACATTCATGTGTGAGGTAAGATAATGTGTTACATCACACAGACAGGACATACGTGTGACACATACAAGAATATAATACCTCGCGTCATTACTAATTTTGTACCATGAATCCATATAATTGTGATCTGTCATATTGTATTAGCCGCTGTATGGGGTTGATGTCTGATGTGTGATGTACACCGGCTACATGTGGTACAAACCAGGTCCGTGCTGTGTTATCAAGTACTGTGTTCTCGTTTCTAGCCGGTAGTGTTATCACGTAGTAAGGGTCTGTAAGTAGACTGAGGTCTTCAGACACAGCGGGTGCTGTACATGATAAGACCAAAGGGGCTTATACGTCAAGACGGCAGTACTAACAACGTAAAACGTCAAATAGAGTCCTAACACATCTGATCATCTGTCCTTCACTTCCCTCCCAGGAAGTGGTCTTCGTTTCTTGCTCCTGGTCGCGTCAAAGAAAAAGGCGTCAAACAATGTTACTTGTAACTGTTGGTCCCCTGCCTGTTTACTGAGTGAGTGTGGTTTTACTCCGCTCTTCACAATATTCAAGCAATGTCAGGGCGGGGGATACCAGGGCTTCACACATTGTACCTATTTGGTGAATCCAACCCGGGTCCTCGGTGAGTGGATCGAGCGCTTCAAACACAAGCCTCAAATGTGGGGGGCGGTGGGTAGCCTAGTGGTTAAGGCGTTCGCTCGTCATGCTGAATACCCGAGTTCGATTCCCCACCTGGGTACAATTTGTGCCCATTTCTGGTGTCCCCCGCCGTGATATTGCTGGAATTTTGCTAAAAGCGGCGTAAATCCATACTCAGTCAGTCAAACTCAATCGTCAAGGTGTTATAATTCACGTAAACCTTGTATCTGACAGTTAGATTCTAACATATATTCAACATCGTTCTTTTAAGCATTGATTGATGATCAACCGAGGTTCATTTCACTCAACTAAGCCTAGCTGATTAAAGCGGGATTAAAGTACTCGTCGTGTCTGAAGAAGCCTAACATCTGCAGTGCACAGGGACGACACCACTCTATCTGAGGGCAAACACCTTCAACTTGTCAGTATACTACTTATCGCTATCACAAGTGTATTTGATAATACTACATCACTCGCTTTGACTATCAGCTGGCTTGTACATTGCTTGTACATTTCAAGGTCGGCAGTGGATACTTTGACCGACTGTGGAGAACGGGAACCTCCGAGATATGTTATCAGCTGCATATATTCCAGTACTTTGTCACTGGTGTGATTGTGGTAGGGACAGCTGATAATAAACGTCAACGGGTGCATATTGATGTAAGTGTGCTCGGTATTTCTGAAATAAGTTCAATGCAAAGTTTTGTCATTTTCAGACAAACGAAGTCCATAGGGTGATTGAGTGAGTCAACTTTGCATTATAAAATATGGTTAGCCATGACTGGTCCCTCTGTAAGTGCAATACGTCAGCCCTGGCTGGTCGCTATGCAAGTGCAATACGTTAGCCCCGACTGGTCCCTCTGTAAGTGCAATACGTTAGCCCTGACTGATCGCTATGCAAGTGCAATACGTTAGCCCCGACTGGTCCCTCTGTAAGTGCAATACGTTAGCCCTGACTGGTCGCTATGCAAGTGCAATACGTTAGCCCCGACTGGTCCCTCTGTAAGTGCAATACGTTAGCCTTGACTGGTCCCTCTGCAAGTGCAATACGTTAACCCTGACTGGTCCCTCTGTAAGTGCAATACGTCAGCCTTGACTGGTCGCTATGCAAGTGCAATACGTTAGCCCCGACTGGTCCCTCTGTAAGTGCAATACGTTAGCCCTGACTGGTCGCTATGCAAGTGCAATACGTTAGCCCCGACTGGTCCCTCTGTAAATGCAATACGTTAGCCATGACTGGTCGCTATGCAAATGCAATACGTTAGCCCCGACTGGTCCCTCTGTAAGTGCAATACGTTAGCCATGACTGGTCCCTCTGCAAGTGCAATACGTTAGCCCCGACTGGTCGCTATGCAAGTGCAATACGTTAGCCCTCACTGGTCCCTCTGAAAGTGCAATACGTTAGCCCTTACTGGTCGCTATGCAAGTGCAATACGTTAGCCCCGACTGGTCCCTCTGTAAATGCAATACGTTAGTCCTGACTGGTCGATATGTAAGTGCAATAAGTTAGTCCTTACTGGTCGATATGTAATTGCAATGTGTTAATATTGACTGTTCCCTATGCAAATGCAATAACCTTCAACACGACGTTAAAACCCATTTCATCTCGCACTCTCGAACATAATCTCAGAAATCAAACTCCAGTGCTCTGCCAATCGGATACCTCTTCTCCAGAAAGTCCTCAACACAGCGAAAGAACAAGGTCTGGTAATTATTGCAGTTCGTTTCTGGAGGCTGTATTTTTCATGACAATGAAACTGTTTGCATGGCAACGTTATGATGTAATGACGACGTTGCTGTGAGGCAAGTTGACGTGAACGCTGACGTACACAGTGGGTACCAGGAGACCTTGCAGCTGAATGTAACAAGGTCGCGATAAGGAATCGGGTTGCGTATCGCGTGGAAATCTTATCCTACGTTATGGTGTGTAGCTTTCAAGGCTAACTTTCTATACTGGGCGTCACAGGGCAGAGCATGCCAAGTTGCTGGCTGACTCGTAGGTTCACACACCTTATCTCACATTTACACAACCTGGCAAAAGAAAGTATGCATTTGTCACGCAGTTCGCATGCACTCATTTTCTACCTTTGGTAATGCGCATGTTTTCGGCACAGCTCTGCTACCGTTCAATCTTGTACCTGTGCCTCAACTTCGCCACTGT